TATGCGAAACTTTCTAAGTGTGAGTTCTGACTGTCTCAGATTCAGTTTTTTGGGCATGTAGTGTTGAAGGAAGGGATCATAGTGGATCCTACAAAGGTGGAAGCAGTAGCTGAATGGCTGAGGCTGAAGAATGTGACTGAGGTTTGCAGTTTTCTGGGACTAGCGAGCTATTACAGGAAGTTTATTGAAAGGTTTTCTAAGATAGCCTTACCTTTGAATGGTAAGGAGTTTAAATGGACCAAAAGGTGTAAAGCTAGTTTCCTAAAGCTGAAAATAAAGTTGACTTTAGCGCTTGTGTTAGTTTTGCCTGACCTGGAGTGAAAGTTTGATGTATATTGTGATGCATCTAGGCATGGACTTGAATGTGTCTTGATGTAAGATGGAAGAGTGGTTGCCTATGTCTCAAGACAGTTGCGTCCGCATGAAGTCAACTATCTGATTCATGACTTGGAATTAGTCGCGGTGGTTTTCGCTCTTAAGGTATAGAAGCACTACCTATATGGAATAAGGTTTGAAGTGTTCAGTGATCATAAAAGCTTGAAGTATCTGTTTGACCAGAGGGAGTTGAACATGTGACAGAGGAGATGGATGGAATTCCTCAAGGACTACGACTTTATGTTGTCCTACCATCCTGGCAAGGCAAATGTGATAGCCGGCGTGCTGAGCCAGAAATCATTGCATATGGCATCGATGATGGTGAAAAAGATGGAGCTGATTGAGGAATTTTGGGACATGAATTTGGCCATGGAGGTAAGGCCAAGGAGTTTATATCTCAAACCGATGACTATCATAATGACTTCTTGGTGTACGTCTGAGATGCTCAGCAGGGAGATGCCTTCTTGCAAGACAAGATAGGTAGAAGGGTGAAAGGAAGGACTTGGAGTTCCACAGTGATGAGAACAAAGTGATCAAGTTTTGGAATCGAGTGTGCATTCCCTAAGTGGATGAGTTGAAGCAAATGATACTTGAGGAAGCACATAAGAGTATAATGAGTTTTCACCCCGGAGCGATTAAAATGTATCAAAATCTTCAAAATAGCTTTTGGTGGAATGGGATGAAAAGGGATGTGGTTGAATTTGTGGCTAGATGCCTAACTTGTCAAAAAGCAAAGGTAGAGCACCAACATCCATAGGTTATTGCAACCGTTAGAGATCCCTGAGTGGAAGTGGAAAAACATTTCCATGGATTTTGTTTCTAGGTTGCCAAGGACCAGGAACAACCATGATATTATTTGGGTAATTGTGGATCGGTTGACCAAGGCTGCACACTTTCTCCCGATCAACATGAAGTATAAGTTAGAGAGACTTGTGGATCTGGTCTTGTAGCATACCAGATAGTTTTGTCTCCGAATCTCTCAAACCTACATCTGGTGTTTCATGTGTCACAACTTAGGTAGTATGTGTCGGATCCTTCTCATGTGATTGAACTTGACCTGGTTCAAGTGAGGAAGGACTTATCCTATGATGTGTATCCAGTGAGGATTGCGAATCACCATGTTAAGTAGTTGAGGGGCAAGGAGATATCATTGGTAAAGGTGATATAGAACTCAAGTGATGAGGGAATGTCACATGGGAAACAGAGAGTAGAATGAGAGAGTTGAATCCAGAGTTATTTGTTTAGTTGGGTTGAATTTCGGGGATGAAATTTTCTAAAAGAAGGGAGAGTTGTAACGCCCCAAATTTTGTAATACTGTTTGATTATCAATATAAATGTATAAAGTGATGTTTGAATGTGCATTTGATTGTGTAATGATTTAAATGAATGAATATGTGGTTAAAATGTGATGTGGACTTGTGCTTGAGCATGATTGTTGATGACTGACTTGTGTTTGGGCTAGAGTTGTTTGAGTATATAGGCTAAGTGAGTGCTGCAGGGTGTTCTCGCTGTAGCGAGAAGGCCTTGAGCCAAGAGCATGAAACTGTGTCGTTCTAGCTATAGCAAAAGGATCCTCGCTATAGCGAGAAGGCACTGGAGAGAGGTGCGAAACTGTTGTGTTCTCATTATAGCGAGAGAGTGATAGTGGAAGGTGCATTTCTGGGTGCAGTCTCGTTGTAGTTATAGGGTCTCGCTGAGCAAAATTTTACTGAAATTAGAGTACAATTTTCTCTTAGATTTTTACTGTAGCGAGAGAAGGTGTTGCTACAGCGAGAGTGTCGCGACTAGAGGATATTTGAAGGGTTTAGGGCTTGAAAAATTTATTTTCCCACTCTTCCTTCGAGATCTCTCCCTGTTCTCTCGATTTCTAGCCTGTTCTTACCAATTTTAGAGTGTTGCGGCCAGAGGATATTTGAAAGGTTTAGGGTTTGAAAAATTTATTTTCCCACTCTTCCTTTAAGATCTCTCCCTGTTCTCTCGATTTTCAGCCTGTTCTTACCGATGAAGGTAGTAGTCACGTTTGGGGCTTTTAAAGTTGAGTTTCAATGGTTAGGGTTTTGGTTTCTCATCTCCATCCTTTATTTTCTTGGTTTTCTTTGAGTTATCATGAAATTTCTCCATGTATTTAAGATGAAATCTGTATGGGGGATGCTACCATTGTTGATTGCATTGTGGGTCTTCGATTTGAGGTAAGAGAGAACTCTACTCTATCTGGTTTTGTTTAAATGCCGTTTATTTTGCTATATGTTGCAATGTGGTTGAGATTAAAAGTAAAGAATTATGTGTTTGGGTGTAAACCTTGTATGAGATATGATATAGTAATTGTTGGGTGTTGTGTGTGGTGAAGATTGAGTATAATGTATATGGTGTAGCAAAGTAGTTGTGATGGGATTCGATATTGCATGTGATACGAATAAAAGTGGGCATACGTACTGTGTGTGAACATGAATGTTATGATGTAATTGAGAATGTGGCTGAAAATGTGTGTGAATGGCATATTAAATGTAGTTGTGAATATGCTATGAATGGTTCAACGATGCATTGGAGGTGTGAAAGATGGAGGCGGTAGGAATCATTTAGGAAAGAGAGGGTGGTGGTGACATCAACACTGAGCGTGGGTGTAGTGTGCCTCGGCTTCTGACTAACATATTTGTCAAGGAGCTTGTGACCGCACACGTTGTATCTGTGAAACGGGAGCTAACCGGCAACTATCCATAGTGTGAAACTATGATCACAATGCCTAGTGAGCGCACATGTATGTGGAATGTTTATTGGTACAGTGAGCGCACTTGTCTGTAAATTGAAATGGGATATTGAAATGTGTTACCTATGACCGCTGATGTTTGGTTTGAAGTGTGTTAGAAAATGTGTGGAATGGGTAAGGTGAGACTCTATGCTTGTTTGTGTGTGTGTGATAGTGTAGAGTACTCACTCTTATATTTATTTTTCATGACCAAGATGATCAGCACCGAACTCAATGAAGGGATAGATAAGACTGTTATAGGACTATAAACTTATTTTTCTAGAACTCTGATGTAATTAAATTATTACTGTAGTAATGAATTGATGCAAATTGTAAACCATCCGTATTTTAAAATATTTCAATGAACTATGTCTTTGAAAATCACTTGAATGAAAATTTTTATTTCTTTCATTTTGTTAAATTTATTATTTTAAAATGAAATACAATGTGTTACAATTTTAGTCTTGAAATTATAAGAATCAATTAATTTAGTCCATAAATTTATAATAATTTTACTTTAATCTTTGATTATTTAAAAATTATTTATTTTAGTATTTTTTATTTCATTTTATTATCATTTTATATAAAACAAAATAAATGTTATTTAGTAAAATTAGTTATTCAAACGAGTGTTTTTTATACAGTCAGAGGCTAAAACTATTGAAACTTAAAATATGAAATATTAAAATATGTATGTATTCAAGAAAATGCCTTTAAAATGATGTTTGCATGAAGATGAATTGAAAATATGCCTCAAACTTTTAACTTAGACCTCCGTTCAAGATTATTCAATGTACTCGTGTATAGTAAGAAATTGAATTTCTTCGGTTGAATGTTTTGTAAATATGTTTCAAGTTCTACATAGTGCTATGTTTTTTCAACATTTTCACAGGCTTTGCATGCAATGCTCTGCTCCAACCATAAAATAACAAAAACATATGATAAGAAGCCTATTCGTTGACTATTTTATTTGGAAACCTCGTTATTATACCTTTTTAAGAGTACGAGAAAATTTGCCTTAATGACATTGGAAGTAGTTTTTGTCCAGTGTGATTAGATTTCCAAAACACCACACTTGGGCTATATTTGCTTAGTAGGAAAGTGTAATTTCACACACATTTTTGGCAAAATTTTCAAATTATTTACAGAATTGGAAGATGTTGTATTTAGAGTATATTTGATTTCTTCTTTAAAAATAATTTTTATTTTTAAAAATATAATATAATATAATATAAATTTGTATTAAATTTTAATTTAGAAAAACTGCTTTTAAGAGAAAAATCAAACGTGTTCTTACTATTTTTTTTGTTTACTCTTCTGCAAGTAAAAAAATAAAATATCAGCTAATAATTTGTACTTGGAGGGTTTGATTAGCTCCAATTTCAAAAGTAATTTAAAAATTAGATTAAATTAGTATTTTGTGTTGCAATTACACTGTAATTCAGTTTGGATAATTTTTTATAGAAGTTCTTGTAAGAGAAAAAGATAAAAAAGTAAAATGACTAAAATCTTTTTAATAAATCAAAATCAACTAATGAATTTCAAGTTTTGAAGAAATTAGTTAAAAATACTTTTTAAAAATAGAAAAATATAAGTTGATTTTATTTTATAGAAGAAATTTAATTCATTTTACTTCCTTTTTTTTCTTTTATAAAAACTTATTAAAAAGAAAACACGGGTGAAAAAACCGCAAAATAACATATACTGGACGTGATTTCTTCCTTTGTTCCTGTGACTCAAATCACTTATTACTATTTCCCATCTTTTTCAATTTTAAAACAACATTTCAACAAAAAATCTAACAACTAAGGGTGGAAATATTATTTTAATGCATGTCATTTTTCAAGTAAAGGAATAAAAAGAAAAGGGACAAAAAATAAATAAAAAAATACACAAGCGATTTCAATTTGTCTCTGTGATGCTGTTTCCTCAGATATATCACAACAACTCGCTTATTTTACAAAACATAAAGTTGGGAACTGTTTATACTCAAAACTGATTTTCTACACAAACCTTCATATTCTAGAATACATGATCACTGGAACAGTGAAAACTCCTACTTTTGCTCCTCACATGTTTGACTGACGTAGATTTATCACCCAACCCACCAACATTTTTTCTTGTCTTTTGAGGGACACAGTACTATAATTACAACTATTCTCACGTAGATTGTGAATCCTCTGTGCCATTTGAGGTTGGAAGTTGGGTAGAAGCTTCTAAATCAATTTTATCTGTGTTCACAAATTTCAAGTAATTTTCAATCTCATTGGAATCATGGCTTCTGTATCTAAGACCTAGCCATTTCTTTTGTGGTTTTCTCTTTCTATAACTTATGGCAATGGCAAGGTCATTGGGGAAGAGGTCTTTGAAGACAAAGGCATGTAAAATAGTTGATACAAGCAGTGCTGTCACTACGAGTGTCGAGATAAGACATAGTATAACACAAAGTGTCTTGGTAACGACATTTGTGACCTGATTTGAGTATCTTAAGGTTGCAATTGCTGCACCAGTCATTGGAAATGTATAGGCCCACCATGCAAGTGAGAAACTGCAGAATAATATCAAATCGTTTTGTCATAAAACTCAATACCATAGACTATATAACTAACTAAATATAAGATATGTAGAAGATATAACTAACATACGTGAATCCTCTGAAAAAATTGATCCGTACTGCCTGTAAAAGCATAAGAAACTAGTAAGTAATTTTGATATTAGAAAATTATGAAGTGTTGGATGTCAAAATTATATAAGGCCTTGTCTTAGAATACACGTGAAAGGTAAACAACAATGATTATACATATTTCAATTAGATAATTATATATTTATATTAACCACCCCTAAAATTAGCGTTAATTACATTTATGCTCTACTTGTTTGAAAAATTATACTTTTCTTTTGAAATTTATATGTCAAAATTTCTAATTTATATCAAAGAATAAATAAAAACTCAATAAATAATAAATTTCAATTATATATTATAGCAGTCAATAATATTAATGCATTGGATTTTGTGATTGGTTATCACTTTTAAAAAAAATTATTATATAAAAATTATTTTTGTGTGACATTGTGCATGTGTTAGAAAAACCATTCATATATGTTAACACATGTTATTTTTTCAAAAACGTAAATATATATATATATATATATATATATATCCCTTACTTTTATATACTAATCATATACTCAGTACCTTTTAAAATAACAAAAATAAAGAAGCAAGAGCATGTTTAGATTTGTACAACATTTTATTTTTAAAAACTAAAAACTATTTTTAAAAAAGAAATTAAACATTCTCTAAATATTTTTTTTTTCTAACTAAGTTGGTAAAAGTATAATTAATGCTAACTTTAAGGGTCAATTTGATTATTCTTATTTCAACAATACAAGTGTGACATGAAAAACTTACCAGAGAGAAATAAAGGAACAGGGCAATGAAATAGGCAATCCGTGATCCATAATCAAAAGAACCCTGAATGTTAGCCCAAGCCATGGAGGCAACACTAGGTGCTGCAACAAACAGAAAGAAAACAGGATGGAGCTCTTTTGGGAGGGTCTCATTTGTTGGAAGTCTTTGGTAAAGGGTCACAAACATGACTGTGTAATGGGCCAGCCCAACAGCAAAGAAGAAAATGGGCCCTTCTTTTAGGCCCATAGATGCCCCAAGTAAGGCCCCCACAAAATTCCCAACAATTGATAAATGATTGGAAGGATTAGCCACCTTTGAGAGCCTCCTTTGACCCCCAGACATCCACTGTCCATATATCTTAAGCTCAAGGCAAAATATTGGTATCATTAGAATGTACCAAAGTGTATGATGCAAATTTTTGGTAACTGAAGGAGGAACTCCAAGAGCTAAGAACAAGAGTGCAATCCATGGTGCAAAGAAGAAGTTAACACGGATTGGATGGTAATACTCACGACGAACTGCTTCAAAGTAGAGAAGGATTTTAAGGAGATAGATTGTGAAAACAGTGACAATAAGAGCAATGGATATGAACCATAAGATTAAGTTGACTTTGAGGCTTATGTGAAGAAAACGAGTGGAAGGTGATGTGGCCAGTGCTTTCCAAAGAATTGCTTGGCTGCTAACTCCAAGGCAAATACCAAATGATGAAATAGGAAACCGAAGGAGGAATGGCCATTGCCTGTCTTGTGGAAGCACTGTCTCTTCTGAAGCCTGTTGTTAGAAGAGGAAAACAAAATGTGTTATAATCTTCATTAAGTAAAAGCATTATACTAGGAAATTTTGGGGCAATGGAAGAAAAAGGAAACACAAAGGATCTTCAGTGATAAAAATATGGTGGTGTAGGTTGATACAAATAAAATGTCTACCAAAAACCTGTTGATTTGTCCTACTTCGGTTTAGAGTGCAGAATTGATTTTAAATTCTTAAATGTGACTTAGATACTAGCTTAAATTAATTTATATCACTTTTTTTTATCGTAACGTGTGTTTTTCATTGAAAAGTGTGAAGATTTGTAACTTCAAAACAAGCATGGCCTAAAGTGGATATAAGTTTGGCCTTAAGTAAGGTTTGGAATTTGAGTTTTGGAAAGGAAAAAAACAAGCAGTAAGAGCATACCTATCAATGATACCATATGTCATATAGAAAAGAAGAAAAACATAAAGGGTGCTTATTTTAAAGGTACATTTTTCTAAAATAAAATAATAAAAGAATATAACCATCGTATTTTTAAGTTGCTTATATTTTAACACTGTATTTTGATGAAAATGAGATGCTCTAAGAGGGCTTAACCTTGTGGTCCACCTGACTCAACTCCAGGATAGTTGGGACTAACAGTGGTTTTCAAATAAATCTAAAATTCTAAATATAGCTGCATCTTAGTTTCATTCAAGACATGAAACACTGAATGCCTTAGTGAAACTATTTCTACGGAAGAGGCCATTGCGGCAGTGATAAAAGAAAGAACTTTTTTATTACAGAAGTTGCATTGTATATGATATGGATTATTTTCAAGTTTCAATACATAACCGGATTTGAATTGACAGAAAAAGTAATCACATACCCTTAGAGTTTCTAACTCTGGACCTTCCAATGCATCGAAATAGCGATCAACAGGTAAAGGCCTATCAGTGCTCCCATTGTTATTGCCATCTTGTGCGTTTTCTCTGGGTGACTTTCCACGTAGAACTGATAATTGTCTCTCAAGTGTCCCTGACCATGTTTTGAAAGAGTCAAATCTCTTATCCTTGAATGCTTTGATGCCAGGATGGTGGTTGTTTACTTTGTCACCATTAACTGCTTCTTGGTATATTTGGTCCTTTTGCATTGGTTGAGAGTAACATCTTGATTCTTGTGGATGCTTAGAACCTTTAGTTCCTGATTGAGAAGAGGAAATGGGAATAACATTTGTTTTAGTGTTCAGTGGTTGTAGCTGAACTTCTTCAGAAGAGAGTGGCATGCTGATAGAATACTTCCTTTCATGATTGATGACTACAGGTTCATCATGTTGTCTTACGGGTGAGGCTGCTTCAACTCCCTATTGCAATCATGGGAACAGTTGGATTTTACTTGTCTATTCAGCTATAAACACAAATGTGTATGTTGTAAATTACTAAGAAGTAAAAATAGACAAATGCTAACCAGTGTCCTAAGGCAGCAATTAAGGAACCAAAAGTGATTTTTTTTTTCAAAAAATATAATAAATATACCTCTCTGAATGATTTCCAATGCAATCCAACACAATTCTGAATAAAAACGTTTCACTTTTAATTCCTTAACCAGTTCCCTGAGGGCACTAGTTAGCAAGACCCTTTAAATTAGTATAGGCACACTACATCTTACATGTCAAAAAGAACTTAATTTTGGAAAACATTTTTGTACTGTTCAATTTTGCAGGTGAAGTACTGAAGGAGTCTTACTTTGGAAGATGGGCTAGGAATTTGAGGGTCAGCAGTATCAAAGCCAGCAACTTCACTTGATGATATATATTTAATCAGTGATGGAACTTCAGGAGAGCCTTGTTCTGCAATTTCAATGTTTATGGTGTTTTCCATTCTAGACCTGAAGAGAAAAAGATATGCAATTTCACTCGTATATAATTATTTTGATTTCTCACTTATTGTCTTTTCTGTATACACACGTAACCGTTTCTGATTAAATAAAATTTAACTTATAGATTTGATACCAATTCAGAGAATCTCATTCGAAAACTTAGGAGTAGAATCAAGCAGGCAAAATCCAGATCCAGATTAGATAGAGAGCAAAAAGATCAAGTGGGTTGATTAAGAATTAATGAATTGTTATATCTTGCTCGCATTAATTACACAGAACAATCTTGAGTGTGTCAATAGGATTATCATATCCATCTAATTGCTTCACACAATACTTTTCCTTTTCAAAGTAACTATGTTCCCATTAGATTTAGCAAATCTAAAGGGCATTGCTAGGTTATCAAAATTAGTGAACATGCAGATATCTTTTCACCAGTTGAGAAATCTTCCCTCTTCAAGAGAGGCTCTTGTTAGTTAAAATAACCAAACAGAGAAAGGTATGAGACCAGTAAGCATCATAGGATAACGACTGCAGAGATGTCAAAATTTAGTCCCTTCACATCTCCAAAACAATGTTAACATTTATCCACTTTGGATAAAACCATAAATGCAACACCCCCACCCCCCTCCCCCAGCTATAAATCCAATTCCTATTGGCGATGGATCCATATTCCATATGAAGGAAATAATCAGATCAGACTTTAAATAAAATAAATCAAAGGCTAACAGAACAGAAAAATAAATAAATATAGAAAACACATTGGAGCCTTCCAACTTTAGATTAGTATGAACATATATGCATATATTACAAGAGTTAAAAGATGCAGAACAGAACCACATTGTGCTAATCCAGCTGGCAAGGAAACATAAAAATAAAAAGAAATAATAAGAATCCTAACCCTTAGCTTTTTCTCTTCTCTGTCTGGTGATTCTTGTGAGTTGATGATCCAAAAGATTCGGATTCAGCAGCGAAAATACACCATATGCTCGAATAATGATGATAGACCAACATATGGCTTGGAGTCACAGTATTAGGAAGATGATTATATATGGTCTCAGCATATGGTAGGCCAAGTGTACTTTGTTTGGTTACGTTGAAATCACCACAAAATTTTGATAATCCTAGCTACTTATTTGTTTGAAAATGACGCAACCCTGATAGAAGACAAGAAAATTAATATTCTAGAGTGGGACAGGTAAGAAGATATTAACCTTTGAAAGGACTCAAATCATTAATGAAATGCACGAGTTCTTTTCTAGCTACACAATTGATAATGATATAACATATAAAAACTATATAGGTCAACAATTGCATACACTGGCACATTCCGAGGAAATGAATAAAAATAAAATTTCAAAAAGAGAAACTCTAACTGCACTATTTTCAGCAGTTATTCTAATGCTCTCTTCGAATTAGCTGAAATTGATTTTTAGACTCAATTGCTAGTTTGATTTAACGAAGAGTCAAACTTATATCATTTTTTAAATTTTTAATAAATATAACTCATGATAAAGATTGTGTTAAAAAGTATATCACATATATGTTTTCAAGATTACTAGTGAAAAAAATATAATAAATGTATATATCCGTGCATGTACGTATGCAACACTTTAGTGTATGTTTAGAAATTTTTTTTATAAGAAAAAAATTTCTTCTTAAAAATTCTTTCATAAAACCACAAAAAATAAATGATTATTTTCTTAAAATAAGATGAACTGAATATGTATTTAGTGGTAAATTAAACAATAAAAAAAATTCTGGGTCATTGATCTGCGACACCAATTAAGATCTGTTGTCCAAAACAAGAGTGCTAATAGTGTTTTTATCGCCCACCAAATTTTGGCACTAGATTTTCCCGTAAACTACAAAGGAGTCCATGAATGGAATAATGTAAACCACAAATCACTTGAAGATAGTATTACAAGCAAAAGGATAGAGCAGAGAGCGAAAAAGGGACATGTTTGGTCTCTAAAAATGTTTTAAGTTTTCATTTTTAATTTTTAATTATAAAATTGTATAGAAATAATGAAAAAACAAAAAAAAAACAAAAACAATTACTTTCAGTATTCCCTGTCAAATCAAACATAAAAAGATTGAGCTAGTTTGAAGCGAGCACCAGCAGCCAAAGTCAAAGGATTAGCACCATTTCTATTTTCACTTCCAATCCTTATCATGACAACGAAGATTTGGCTGCAATTGTTTAATTTGAATACATTGTTTCGGGTTTGAACCTCAAAATTTTATCTACCAACAGAAGAAATGTTTAGCACGGAATTAAGATGTCACCAACCCATATTTTTCAAACTAAATTGAGATACTACTCATAGTTTTAATATTAGAAAAAGAACAACCAAATAAAATCCTAAGATACTTTACAATTCTTTTATTTTTTTTTATTAAGACCCACTGATATTTAGATAAGACTAGACAACAAAGTTTTTGTTAAGACAACTATAGTTTTAAACTCAAGACCCCTATTTAACTTAGAATAATTTTTAAGAGTGCCTAACTTAGGAGCATTTTGATTTTAGAAAACATATTCTATTATCACTTTTAATTACAAAATTGTCACATTGTTTCATTCTATTTCTTAGTTTTGAATGTTTATACAAAAAATATCAAATTTTTTTTACTATTTCTATACAAATATTTAAAAATAAAAACAGAATAGAAACAAAGTAATAATTTTATAATTATAAATAAAAATAGAAAATCTTTTTTAAAACCAATTAACCTTGTGCATTTATGGTTACTTTACAATTCTTTTTTAGTTAGGAGTAGCTAGCACAGGCCTACAAATTGAGGATACTTTACAATGTGGTCACCATGAGATAAAATGGTCATTAGTCAGTCTGCAATTAGAATTACAAGTGACAATCAAACGATGATGTTGACATAAAAAGTAGTTTTATATGCGTGAATCCAGCTTATGATAACTCTTAATAAATCACAGTCAACGATGAGAAGAAACAAATGAAGAAGATCCAGCAAATATACAACCCATGTTTTACAGGTTTAATGTTTAAGAAAAAAATACGAATTGAGATTTGCGCGTATGAATTAGTGATAAATTATAAGTTCGGTGAATAAAAAACATGAAATGCAAAACTCCTGACAAAATAAAACAAATTGAATGTTATAAAATAATCTCGTCCGCCAATCTTTATAAATCTATTTGAATTAATACGCAATAAAAAATATCTATTCGATTTAATTATAATAACAAAATTCATATTTTTTTAACATGTATCCGAAGTCGTATAAAAAGAAATAAAATAATATTTTATTGAAAAGTGTTACATTCTATGTTATTAACAAATAATTATGTGATGTCTTGTAATTTTTAATTGAAATTTGTTATACATATATAACTTCTTATTAAATGGTAAGCTAATCTTCTAAACATTACCACACTATGATTGTTATATATATCATCTGTTAGACATTTTAGTTTTTAATTTTAAAATTTTTATTTATCTATTATTTTTCTTTTTCATTTTTATTATTATAAAAAATTACCATTAATAGTCACTTTGAGTGTTTGTATTATCCGTTGACTTTTCTAAGCTTTTCTCGAATATAGTGTAGTAGCAATTAAGATTTTGTCATATCAATACTAAAAACTTCAGTTGAACAAAAAAATTTGAGTTTAGGCAATTACCTTAAACAATGTAGGTGCAAGCCCAAGTAAAGGAAAGAAAGAGGTGAGAGTAAGGGTATTGGAGTTTCGAGTCGAAATGTTTAGTACAAGTTCCAAGAAGTTAGGGGTATGTATAGTAACTCCTACCACCACCCAAGTCAACATCATCCCTTCACCAAAGTGCTTAGTACAAGTCCTATGAGGAGCCTCAAGGGGTATGTTATTTTCATAAACAAACAAAGCAAAGACTATAATGCAAGTTAGGGTTTTAACAATAAGCCCTCCTCAATATTTTGCATCCATGGCTCAAATTCCTTAAACACAAAGGACCATATTCACATATGCTGATCACCAACAATTGTCATGGTGTCTCAACTTTCTACAGTGTTGAAGATGAAGATCTCCAACAATTCTCATGTAAAATGACTAATCATGTAAAAAGCATAGGAAAAAACTCAATTTCTTATATTTGACATGGATAGATATAGTATTAACTATCAACCAAAAAGATCTTAAAATTCAATTTATGTTGGGAAAATTTGTGAGCATCAAAGGTTGCCGGGAGTGGTAGTTTCTGACAATGGTAAAAATAAAAAAGAAAAAATAATAAATAATAAATAAATTTAAGAATTAGAGACTAAAATTCTTAATGAATAACTAAAATTTTTGTTAATGACAATTTTAAAGATTAAAATAAAATAAAAATATATATCATAATATATATAATATTATTTTTATCATATAATCAATCAAACATATTACTTAACGTAACACATTTAGTTACTTATATATTAACCATATTTGCCTCAAAAGAGTAAAATAATGAACAAAAACAAAAGTTATAGACTAACATAATATTTTTAAAATTTTAAATATTAAAATATCCAAAGTTTATACTATCTCTAGGATTAATATGAAAAATTAATTTTAAAAATTAAAAATGATAAATTTTTATTAAAATTTAAATTTAATTATATTAAAAAAATATACGGAAAAAAGTAGTATATATATTATATATACAACAGTTAGCATTAACCTACTTTTTTTATCACTTTCTCTCAATTTCTTTTTTGTTATTATCTCTTTCTTTATATCTTTCTCTTCATTTTCTATTACATTTTTCATCATATCTTTTATTTCTACTCGCTTTACAAAATCTTAACAGCAGTTGGTAATAATATCTTATATTATTTAGTAAACTTTTTATTAGATAATGTTATAATTATTTAATTTTGATAAAATAATATATAATTATGATTTAATAATTAAATATATAATCATTATATAAAATTATTAACAGTATAAAAATAAGTTACAATGATCCCTCCACTTATTAATTGCACGGAGAAAAGTTAATAAAACTAAAAAAAATTAAAAATCAGTGCATGAAAAAAGAAAGGATACGTTGAATAATCGTAAGATTATGTATATATAAAAAAAAAGTATCTCTAGAAAATAAATAAAAGTAAGAATATAAGAAATTTAATACTCAAGAGTTATCACCATGTGTTGCTCCAAGTGACCAAGTGATAAAAATAATAATTTTCCTAAATTAAAGTCTAGGTTTCAGTCATATTAATGAAAGGTATTTGGAGAGTTATGTCCCTTTTTAACGAGTCTAACTCTACTCTTATTGCTGATCAGAATCCAATATAACTTACAAAAAATCTCAAAATATAAAAAGAAAATATCAATAATACAATCATAAAATAATAAAATATGTAAAAACGACAAAATATCATATTAAAATTTATGAACTCTGCTAAAATAAATAAAATCAGTTAAATATCAACAAGTAAAAAAAAAGTAATAAATTTCAAAGACTTATTCACGAGATTATCAGTTTAGTTTGTACAAATTATTTTGTGGTATGCATTCCCAGGTGTAAAAAAAATAAAAGTCACGTAATTGAATAAAATTGCAATTTAGTATATTTTAATTCAAAAAAAATTGAATGATAATAAGTAATATGTCAGTTGGGATAACCCCCAAAATAATAGGGAAAAGCCAATAAACTATAACTAAAACAATTTGACAATTTCTTCTCAACAATTTTTTATGATTTTTTTTATTTTTGTTTTCATTAGTTATATCTTCTTCCCCCCCCCCCCCTTTTTTTTTTCAAATCCAAAACCGTCAGCCAAAAAGTTTTCATCTTAATAACCCTTGCCAAACTCGGTTCATTTTGTAAAATAAACAGAAAATAAATATAAATAAAATTTTATTTATATAAGTTCTTAAGATTGATTATAAACATCTAAAAATAATATTTTTTATTATAAAATATATATTATAATAATAAGAAACAGTATATAAGTGTTATTTTCATGCATGTCTGATGAAACTAAAATTATTTATAGGATGAATTTGGGATAGCAA